TACCCGCTATACAGTACTGTACATGTATATTGTTAAGAATAACTGTACAGCTAGACATTTTTGTGGTACTAATTTTGTAAATGCAAAAATTTAATGTGTAAATGTTTTCCAAGATGCTTTTGCAACAATACTATGGACGAAATGAATTTTAGTGGCTATTTGGGCTAGTATAATACATGTACATGTATAGTGTTCTTTACTTATACTTTTATATAGAAATAGAGAAGATTTAATCAGTGAAGGAGAAGGAAGAGAAACCACTGAAGCATTAGATCCAGAATTAATAATGTTAATATCCATCAATGAATTGAAGTCATTACTAAGAACACACAAAGCACCACCTACTGTATATGTGAAGGTAAATGTTGTTTGTTATTGTTAGTGTACAATAAAAATAACATTAATAGATAGCTTACCCATACACCATAGCTGAGGTTATGAAGCATGGCTTTGTACCACACATACACTTCCAATTTTTATTACATTTTATAATACATATTGATATCCTCATGCTACGTTTAAACTGCTTCCGACAAATAATTTTCGATTTTTGAGCATTTTAACCAATTTTTTAAAAAAGTAAAGGCCCCCAATTAAATGGTCTTTGGCTAAATTTATATGTTGTAGAAAGTGCAACTTTTTCTCTTTGTTTGAGTCATTATTACGGTATCTTATTATAGGCAACTATATTGAGGTTGAATGGATCCCTATCTCCTGATAGAGGAGTGTGGTACCTACAAGTGACAATAGCTGATGGTACAGGAGAGATGCCTGCTGTACTGGGGAATGCACCACTAGAAATATTAATAGGAATCAATGCTAGAGGCTTTTACAGTGTACCACGAACACAAGGGGAAGAAGTAATTAAACCACACCATTAATGATTAATAATTATAATGTGTGTGATATAGGGATTGAGGAAATGTAAAGAAATATTGTCAAGGTTACACTGTGTGATGGAGCTAACAATAACTAATGAACCAACTATAACTAGATTATTAGATGTATAGAAGACGTTATATAATTTAAAACATGTGTATAATTGTGCTTTTGTTTATTATAAGCTGATTTACATAATGACAAATTACTTTTTGTTTCCTTACATTGCAACAGGAAGTGCTGCAGAATATGCATGCCAAAATGTCAGAATAGCCTCATAGTCTATCTTCAAATTGATTCACCCTGCCATTTGTGAATACAGGACAGCCTTTACCCTTTTTGGTCCCTATGTTAACAGGTGGGTCTGCTATTTACTTGTGAGAAACACTACATTTCATTCTAATCAACTTTCAAATTGCAGTTGGAATAGCCCCACTTAAATTTTTCAGACTGACAAGGGATTGGTACTCATTCTTATTTAATTTGCAGATAAAATTCTGTAGTTATGGTGGCCTCACTCATAAGACATCTGTTATTTTAACTCGAGGTAAATACATGCATATCAAAACATTCTGACTGTTGTCCATTTCTTACCTATTTTCCTTTTACACTGTATACAGATTCCAGATTGCACTTTTCATTCCAAATGCATGCACCTATATAACTTCACTGTACCCCAAATTTTGCATCCCTGCAATTTACTATTACTTATTCATGTAAATGTATATTTAACCATTTATGTATCTTCACAGCATTGTCTATTTTTTCAATTTGCCACATTTTTAATCCTGTTTTTTTCTGCTTGCATGCACCATGGCTCTAAAATTATTCAGTTCTTAGAACTATAGCCACCTTTTTGTTTTAATGCATAATTTATCTTTTGACAAAATTAAAAAAAAA